CCACCTCCCTCCTTTTCTTGTAAACTGATGGGTAGGCATTGCTGCACGTCTGCAGGTGTCAGTCAGGGAGACGCTACTTGGCGGCAGAAGGGGGAAGAGGGGCGATTGGTTTTCTTGGAGACTAACGCCCTTCCGGTGAGAGAGAAGGTAGGCGAGGAGGGGTTTGGCCGTGGAGAGCGAGGACGGGGAGGAATGGGACGGTAGAGTTAAACAGGGTTGTTAATGTGATTCCGACTGGCAGGAGCAGGGAGAGCGGGGAGAAAGAAAAGGACGGAAAGAAGGAAGTGGGGAAAGGCACGGCGAGGAGGAAGAGGAATGTCCCGTGAAGTGGTGGTTGTCGGCGGCAGGGCCGGGCAGGGCCGGACGAGCACCATCTCCTGCACCCGCCCGCCCCGAGCCAGCCGGATGCCGGCAGCCGGCGGCCCTCGAGTCGACACCCCATATGGGACAAGGGCCAGGCGGAGACCGGGAGGGGAAAGGCGTCCACTTGAACCGGAACCGGCGACGGGGCGCCGCGGTGCCGCTTCTTTGGAGCAGTTGAAAGAAATTTAGATTGTAGCTGTCTTACAGACTCACTGCTTGAGTGCAAGGGTTTGTTCTCTTTCACAAACATACGTCACGTACAATGAAAATCTTACAGTAAATTGTCAGTTTTCAACGATGATGCACCTTGATTCGCTGTCGCTTACACGCTTTAAATTCACCGCAATTTACGGTGCTCGAAGGATCACTGTAGATTATTATAGCGAAATTCAGTGTGAACTTGTAACCACATAGTTCTACCCCTTTTGTAGACTTTCGATCACGATTGGACGTAACATCTGCTGCTACATCTATAGACGCGCTCAGAAAACCGTTTGATACGCGCAACTAAAACGAAAGCCAAACGCCAAGAAAAGTTTACTTGCGGAAGACAAATTTTGGTCGCCCTGATCGCGTGATTTAGTCATGTTGATAAAGGTGTGATCGACCTGATCATATATTTTTTCGAACTCTTGATCAAATGTTTAGTTGGCTTGAGGGAGTAAATTTTCATTGATTCAACACCCTTTTGTTGGTTATTAGGACAAAACGATTTTCTCAGTGCGTAAGTGCATTTTCTCCCTGCGCGCATGATAGGTGTTTGCTCGTCTTGTGAGCAGTGGTTGTGGACGGGCCGGGCGCTGTAAGAGGTGCCGACAGGTTGCGCGCATCGCAAGTTTGCCGCGGGCCGAAGGGCCGGGCCGGGTCGCCCCCTGCAATTAATATTCACTATGAGAAAAGTTTGCTGCTGCTCGCACTATTGAATCGGCCTGGAAACAGTTTGAGACACAGACGCTGCCGCGCGCGCGCAGCGCGCCACGCGGATCGGAGAATTATTGCAGCAAGTTGCGCTGCACGAAGAGTTTGAAACTGGCAGTTACAGGCCAAACCGAGACCGTGGCGGCGCCCCCCC